GGCAATGCACACTGATAATCTTACACATTCTGAAAACAAGATGATTATTCTTACACAATCAGTTCTTGTTTAGTAAATCAGTCTCAAAACAAAATCAAAAGGACTTTTTGGCTGATATAAGATTTTTAAACTTTGTTAGGTGGACAGTTTTTGCAGTGTAGATTTCCTGCTTTAATGTGAACATTATGCTTGGCTGATATTAAACACATTTAAATATGGAATTTAGTAAAGTAAAGCCCAGGAGGGAATCCCAAACACCCCTCTCCAGCTCTGCCTGGGGGACCCCATAGCCTCTTGAGAGTTCTGGGTCTAAGGAAACCTCCAAGAGACAGAAGACCAGGGTGGATGCTTTAACATCATTGATAATTATATTTTATGAGTTAAACTTTAACATCTAGCTGCTCATGATATTTGTTTCCCAACAGTGAAACTTTAAAACCCGGTTYGACAAAAAAGCACACAGCTATGACGTGCAGAGCTTTCACTTCCGGGTCTTGGCCCACCTGCGTCTTCGGTGCTGCCTTGCTGCACGGTGAGCGGCGCGTTCATGAAAACCAGCTCCACCTGTTTCTTCAGCAGCTTCCTCAGAGCCCCGGTCTTTTCACGGAACGAGCTGCCGTTCTGACGGTAACCGTGAACACACAGGATCCGGAGAGGAGCCATGACAGCTTACCGAAACCTGCTGCCGAGGCTGTAGCAGCTAAAAACATCAAATAAATCTTTGTTATGGTGAAACAACTCTAACTTATTAATTAGATAAATAATAGAAATTGCGAACGACAAGAAGCCCTTTCTAAACGCGTGAAATTGATACAATTTATTAATAGCTGCAGCAGATTCAAGTTTAACCGGAAATAATGGCTAAAATAATGGCTTTTCCGGTTTTTCTTTTCAAAGTAAAAGCCTTTGTTAGAATATTTACTACAGACAGATATTGTGAGAAATACAGACATTGTTCAAATGAGATTATTAGTTGTGTTACTGTTTTTGTGTATTTGACTGTACAAAGACACCCCACACTTTATT